CGAAGTATATAATGATATGATGCATGTATTTTGTACTATGAAGCTTCATATTAGGACATTACGTTAAACGACAAATTAAAACGATAGAATGACTATGTTCGAAATTAAGGACATTATAAGTGCTTTTTCAATGAAGATAAAGGCGAATATTATTTCAGAATACATTAAGCATAAAAGGCATAAATGTATTAGAATGACGAATTTAACTAACTCTACAACTAAGAATGAAAAAACTTTCGAGGTCATAGTGAGTTGTATCCGCAACCTGGGATTATCTTTTGTTATACTCCGTATAAAATACAAAGATGACATACGAATCATGAAGTGTTCCAAAACAAAGATGGAGAGCCTTCTCCTTAGCAAACCACACCTTCTTATAAGTCATATAAGGGTCCGTTTGGTATACAGAATTGACGGAATTAGAATTGAATTGGAATTGAAATTCCATTAGATTCAATTCCATAGAATTGAATTCTATCCATTCCAATTCATTTTTTACACTATCAATTCTAAATCCACATAATTTTTGTACTACCAAACACCAGAATTGGAATTGAAGTCCTCAATTCCAATTCCATAATTTGAATTCCGTGTACCAAACGGGGCCTAAATGTCATTCTCACAAAATTGGTGTGTAACAAACTCTGCAACAACGTCATATGTAGCTTGTCTTGTTTTTCCTTGACACACGCCAATAGAGCAATGGGGTTCACAATCATACATGCAGGATACTGATAACCCTAGTATCAACCAGAGAAGGATAGTCGGCTCCTTCGTGCCTAGAATGGAGGTAAGCCAAAGAAGAAATTAAGGAGGAGAAAGAAAGAGGAGGGAAACGGCTGGAAGCTGAAAGGAAAAGAGGTTTTAGAAGAGGAAGAGCTAAGGGGGAAAGAGGATGTTATTATTCTTCACTCCCAAAACCAACGTAGAACCTCACTTAAATAGATCCCCAAACCCTAAGTTACTACGTGGTCTATCCTGTCGGTTCAAGAAAAGCATCGAGGTAAGGAACCGAAAAGAAACCATCGAAGGAGCGTAAAAGCTCACCTAATAAAATCTACGTTACATTGATTAATAATAAATAAATAATAATCCTTAATCTGCATAATCCTTCCGCCAGTGCGGCGGTCTCTTGATTCTCGTACTACGCCGCACCTCCCCCATGCATGAACGATCCTCCACATCTTTGACGTCCCCACGAGCCCCGCTCGTAATAGTTACATGACAATTAATCAACATCATATTGTAAAAATGCGAATTAACTAAATAATACTCTCTCCGTCCCTAAATAAAGTTTCATTTTTGACTTTTTGAGGATTTAAGGGAGAGATATTTTTGTGTTCACTTTCCAAAAATACCCTTGATGTGATGTGTAAAAGTAAGATGTGATAGGTAGATTATTAGTAAAAAGGTATGATGTGATAGGTAGGGTATGAAAAAGTAAGGGGTAAAAGAGGTTTTTTTAAGGGAAAAGAGAAGTTTATTTGGGGACAAAGAAAAACGAAAGTGAAAATTTATTTAGGGACGGAGGGAGTAACGAATACAGGGATACGAAGGATATAGACATTGTACTTAGATATGCACATTATGCTTAATTTGATCAAAGAACATTTAGTGTGATGTACTAAAAACAAGGGCTAAAAAGAATAACTATGTAAAATTTAGTGCAAAATTTGGTAGTGTAATCAACTAAACATAGTGATTAAATAACTATGCACATAACAATTACACAAGGGAGAGTAAATATTTAAGGAAGAGTATGAGGAGGACTAAATAGGACTAAATAATGTCTAGTGGGAGGAATAATGTCAAGTGATGCTGGACATTTATTTGAATAATGACTAATTTATAATGACTAATGATCCTATATTAGAAAACAAAAACATATTGTCCTATATTGAGAAAGTCATTATGTTTTAGTTATATTTAGGTAAATTACTCTTTTTTTATGGGTATAGAAATAAGAAATATTTGCACTAACTAGCATTAAAACTTAAGTCATTTTTCTAAATAGCACTTAAGTTGTTTTATTCCCTAAGTAGCACTTAATAATGTCCATAATGACCAGACGAATATTTACTTGAATAATGACTAATACATAATGACTAAAAGTGTTATATAGGGAATATAATAAAAATATCATGTCATAAGTAGATTAGTACTAGAGTTAGTAAATATGATGTGATGAATATATTACTCAATAATTACTATAGTTAAATATGAAATTTTAATTTAAAGTAGAAATGTTTTTATGGAGAGATAAAAAGTGAAAGTATATATTTTTTGGAACGAATGGAATAATCGAAGGTACTACAAGTTTAACTACGACATTGCAAAGTCAAAAATATTCGATTACTTCTTTTGTCTCAAAATTAGGTTCCAAATTATCTTTGTGTGTCTAAAAAAAAGTTTCTATTTTCTTGTTTTAGAAACATTTTTGCAGTTCATATTATTTCTCTTTTCTTTAATTATCACTTTTAACCATTCGATTTTATTTTTCTTATCTCCATATCAAGTCAAATAAAGAACCTTTTACTAAAGGCTTTGGGGAGTAAATACCATTCTTAATCATTAATGAGAAGCATAAACTGAAACTCAAATATTATTCAATTTTTTTTTAAGGAAAGATATTATAATAGTATTCCAATTGCTTGTGTGTATGCATGTGTATTATTGATACACGCATATCTAAAGACGTACTATGATTGCTTCATTTGATTGCACGAATTCCAAATGAATTGAAAGTTCAAATAGACTTCGTCCGAAGGTCCAAAAACAAAGTAGTCTACAAGATTGTCAAAATCTACCCAGTTTGCGTAGCAGTCAAAGCCCCATGCACGAAGCTCCGAGCAACATAAAGGAGAGGGCACTCCGCCGGTAATTGTATGCCCATCTTGTTGCACGAGTTTGAGAATTATTTTCCTACATTCATTAGAGGGCGGTTGTTTCTTTGAACATTGAGGCAATTTCTGTACTTTATCAAGAACTCCAGGATCTTCTTTAGTAATATCTCCATTTGTTTTTCCATTTAATAGGAGCAACCCTAATAAGAGATAATATAGATTCATGTTGAGTCTAAATTAAATCTTTATTGTGAGCTTTTATTTTCCTTTGTTCAAGCTCGATGAATTTATATAACTTGAGTGACATAGGAAACTACAATTAATAATGCACAAAAGCAATATGTCCAGCTGGAACTTGGAAGACATGCATCAAGCGTACGTTATGGTTCAAAATTTTATGAACCGGTTACAACTCCCATTGTAGCGTACGGCTAAAACTTAATTGTAGTTGTTACCTTAATTACAGTTTTCTGACCTGATTCTAAAAACAATTGAGGAATTGGTTTATAAAATGGTCTTCTAACCTGATTCTAAAAAAAATTGAAGAAAAATATTTTATTTAAAAAATAAGAAAATGAGGAATTGGTTTTTTAAACTATTCTACAGATACGGCCACAACTCTTTACTTCCTCCAAGCAGGTATCTTAATTTGGATTTAAATTAGACGAATTTACTTAAATACCACTAAAACATAATGACTTTCTCTAATAAATACCACTACATGTGTTTTTCTTCCCAATGTAGCACTTTTAGTCATTATGCATTAGTCATTATTTAAGTAAATATTCACCATCACAGGACATTATGGACATTATTAAGTGCTATTTATGGAATAAAACAATTTAAGTCCTATTTAAGGAAATGACTTGAGTTTTAGTGCTATTTAGTGCAAATATTTCTTTAAATTAGTGTGGAATGCACTTTGATTTAATATAAGTTGAAATATTGAAAAAAAACAAATAAAAGAAATCACCTCTAGTGTTACCACATGATTTAAATAATGTGGGAATAGCCTATAAATTAAATTTTGGAAAAAGATAGTAGTAGTGAGCGAGGTACAGAAGGTAGAGACCAATAGACAATGTTGTAGGACATACTAGAATCTTAGAATATGTGCACATATGTATAATAATCCGGTTTGGTGCTACCAAATCGTGATTACTGGACAAATAGGGGACGCCCCTAGTCTAGTGAGATATAGGTTTCATTTACCGATGACTAGACAATCATGTCGTGGAACGATCGTAGAAGATCATTATATAGAAAACTAGATGATAATTTCTTTATAAGAAATAATGCCCGTAAGAGAGTAATTTAACTTATACATAACTAAAAATGTGAAACATGCAGGAATAACATAAAACAAAGTTGGTAAATTAATTTAAGTATTTGCATAGATCTAAAAAAAGATTCTTGACTTGGGATTATGTATCTCTAATTAAAAAGTTTGATATTAAAATGTGTGAGTTAATCATTCTAACTATCCACACTTCTGAATAATAGAATCCGGGAGGTTCCAATTATCTAGATATACGGGCTTCCATGAGAGTCAAATCAGACTTTATGCTCAAGATTTCTGATATGACAGCTAATATCGATGTGCCATCACACTCCAGGTATAAGGGTTCATCAGCTGCATTCAACACTTCTAATAAAAAATTAAGAATAGATCGATCAGACAATGTATTAATATCATCAATGTTTTGATGAGATGATGAGCTAGAAACATCATTAAAATGAGAGGATTTAGGAAAGGCAGTAGGTGCCATAGCATCATACATAACCTGTTGGTCCCATGCTATGTTCTCATAATTAATTACCCCATGCAGAAACTGGCTCTGGAACTAACCGAGAACTTCCAACTGTCTGAGGAAAATATGACGGACTCAATATTTTGCCATGAGAATACCAAGTACAATAATTTTCAATAAAACCTTCGGCGTATAGATTCGAATGCAAATCATCCTCAGTAACGAAGTGCATATTTTTTCATTTCCCACAATTCAAGGACATCGAACTTTCTCTTTATCAAGAAATTCAGTTTGGGCACTGCCAAATGTAATAAATTCTTCAACACCATCAATATATTTACGTGTCAAACCGTTTTGGAGTTATGAGTTAATAGTGTCGAATGATGGCACGAGCTTAGGCACAGACAATGTAGAGACAAATTCATTCACGAATTAAAACGGACCGTGTGGCTTTATTTTTTTCTCGGTGAAGGTACGAACAAGCCGTGCCTACATTTCCGTGCCAATTTCGCGCGTTTTTTGTTAGAGATGAAAAGTTTATACGAAGTTATTGGTCATCAAAGTTAAGAATAATGAAAGTTAATTATTTTATTTTGAATAAACCATACTAACAAGAGGTTCGTTCATTCCGAAAATACAATAATACAATAATAAAATGCGACTAATTAAAAACAGCACTAATTTGATGTGGTACAGTTGTAAGGACATGGATACGTGTCAATTACATCTACCACTCTTCTTTCAAAGTACCAATCTCTGAATACTTCAGCATAAGTCTGATCGAATATAAAACAGAACAAAACAAATGTTAACTAAATTCAAGTCAATCATTCCATGTGAATTTTAATGAATTCAATATTTGGTTTGATCATGTTTGGGGTATATATATATAATATGTTAACTAAATTTAATTTGTGGAGAGGACATGATTATTTTAAATTCAAAAAACAAGAAAAAAAAGAAAAGAAATACCTGTTTGGTTCCTCCGGGTGCAAGATTATTCCAACCAGAGCCCAAGAGGAGACAATGACTATTGGGAGAGTAAACTAAAAGTCCTTTGAGTGATTTGTTCCTTTCATTTGGCCACACGTCCAACAACTCTAACCTAAGCTCTGAATTCATTTATGCATATGAATTAATTGTAATTAAAGAAATCATTTGGTTACACTACTAGTCAATAATCAGTAGAATAAAGGGTTAATAGCATGGGTGCCCTTGTGGTTTACAAAAAGGGTGTCAAAACCCCATCTGTTTTCAAAAGTTATTTGTAAGGTTCCTGTGGTTTCTAAACAAAGCACATATGCCTCTTACCTATTTTTAAAACAAAAATGACATTTATGCCCTTTGTTTTCCTCAATCTTGAATTTTTCCAATTCAATTCCAATTTCATTTATTATACAAATATATAAAATAAAATATACACTTCCCATCTCAAATTAGAATTTTTCATAATGTACTTTTGAAAACAAAAGATTTTTTTTGGAGAATGTTACAAAAAAAATGAAAAATAAAATATTATGTACAAAGTAAAAAGTAACAATAGTTAAAAAAGGTAATGAAAAGAAATAAAAATATAAAAAACAGTCTTTTTCTTTAACTCCATATTTTATTCCATCTTTCTGTTCTTCATTTTTTAAAGTCCTTAAAAAATTATTTTACTTTTAAAAAACAAATAAGTTAGAATTTTTAATTAGAGATAGAGTGAGTATATGTTATCCAATTTTTTATTTTATTTATTTTACTTTTACTTATAATGAAAAAGTGTATTTTATTTCATTTTTGTAACATTTTCTAAAAAAATTATTTTTTTGAAAATTAAATAAATAAAAAAAAATTAATTTGAGAAAGAGGGCGTATATTTTATTTTATTTATTTGTATAACAAAAAAACTCAAGAAAAGAGTGAAATTTGAAGATAGAGAAAAACCAAGGGTAGAAATGTCATTTCATGTGTAAAATAGGCAAGAGAAGGTATTTGTGCACTATTTAAAAACCACAGAGGTTTTACAAATAACTTTTGAAAGTAGATGGGGTTTTGACGCTTCTTTTGTAAACCACGGGGGCACCCATGCTATTATCCCGTAGAATAAAGTTAGAAATATATCAAAATGAAATACCTCATTTGTACATTAGACAAACACAGATACTTTGACTAGTATTCTCTGCAATTAAGTGTTAAAGTAAGTAGCTAGTCAAGTAATTAAAACCTTGCAGGGCTTTCATTTGACTTGAGGTGCAATTTCCCTTTGTCGCACAAACCGCATCCTCATTTGACAACGTATAATTGATCTGAAATAGAGATTTATATCATTATAATCAATAATAGAATAACTAATTACTACTCCGTACAAGCCTATATTCAGTAATTATTACGGAATATATACATAAGAGTAGGAATCAGATCGATATTTATTAATTAAAGATATTGCTATAGTAATCATAATAATACTACTCCCTTCGTTCTCAAAAACACTTCCTTTTTCCTTTTTTCTACTTCCAACAAAACACTTCCACTTTCTATTAAAAAACCACTTTTATCCTTACTTTTTTATACCATATCTATCACATCATACTTTTTCTCTAATAATCTATCCATCACATCTTGCTTTTACCCATCACATCAGGGGCAAAATTGGAAATCAACTATATTTTAACACTTCCTTATTTTTGCTCCAAATTAAAATGGGAAGTCTTTTTGCAAACGGAAGGAGTATTTATTATTATTATTATTATTATTATTATTATTATTATTATTATTATTATTATTATTATTATTATTATTATTATTAGATTGGGAACCTGGACAGTATCAAATGCTGACATGAGAAAGAAGATAGGAGTGCGGATGTCTCCTTGCAAATTTTGTGGAAAAAAACACTGCATATATACCAAACAAATTAATTTAAATATTCTAGGACGGAGTATTTAATTAACTTTTGCTTCAATTTGAAGGAATATGATTATAAAAATAATTTTACCAAAGCCGCAGGTAGTCTCGAAGTACAAGATTTCGGCAAAGCGGGTGTGGATCCCTATAACACAAATCATTTAAAAAAAGAAATCATCTACTCCAAACTCTACTACTCTTGTACTCCCTTCATCTCATAAAGATAGGTAAATTTTGACTAAAATAGAAATTAAGAGAGTGATAATTTTGTGTTGACTTTTCAAAAATACCCTTGACGTGATGGGTAAAAGTATGATGCGATGTGTAGATTATTAGGAAAAAGGTATGATGTGATAGATAGGGTTTGAAAAAGTAAGGGGTAAAAGTGGTTTTTTTAATAGAAATGAGTAAGAAATTGTGGGACGTAATTTTTTTTGAAACGTGTAAATCTTTTTGGGACGGATGAAGGATAATTGGTTTTTCAAGTTATTGCATTATCCTCCAAAATAGTATAACACAATATGATTAGTCTTTTAATATTAAAAATTTCACAAATAGTCTTTTAAGTCGTGTTAGCATTGCATGGTTAGTCTCTCAATTTTAAAAATTCCACAGTTAGTCATTCAAATCACGTTAGTGTTGCGTGGTTGGTCTGTTACTTCTTGCATTTTTTTTCATTTTTTATTATCAATACATGTGAGGAATTTTCTCTTTTTCATACAATTGAGTTATACTTGGTAGATTTACTTTAATTGAAATCTTGGTAAAAAAGTTTAACCTAGTTGAGCGTAAAAAATCAAAATTTGATAAAAACTTTAAGGGGGATTTATATTTTGTAAAAGAATTAAACTAATTAATAAAAGCAAAAGTAACTTATTTTATTTAAAAACTTGGAGTAATTAGAGTAAGAGTAACTATTATTATTAAAAATAGACCTATATTAAATATGGTTCAATTATATGGAGAAGAAAATGTTCCTCACATGTATTCAAAGTAGAAAATATATTTAAAAAATGCATGGACCAATGGCAACATTAACGGAAGAACAAACCATGCAATGCTAACGTGACTTGAAGAATTATTCGTAAAATTTTTAAAGTTGAAAGACCAACCATACATGAACCGTTCACATGACTTGAAGGATTTTTCTTAACATTTTTAAAGTTGAAGGAGTAACCGTGCATGATGCAATAATTTAAAGGACTAAGAGTAGAATTTAGCTTATAATTTAGGAGGTATTAAATGGAGTACTTTCAATGAATTGAAGGAGTCATATATCCCACTCCATATCTATATACTCGCTCCGTCCCATAAAATCCTTCACGTTTCAAAAAAATTACTCTCTCCATTCTCAAAAACACTTCCTCTTTCCTTTTTTCTACTTCCAACAAAACACTTCCTCTTTCTATTAAAAAACCACTTTTATCCTTACTTTTTTATACCATATCTATCACATCATACTTTTTCTCTAATAATCTATCCATCACATCTTGTTTTTACCCATCACATCAGGGGCAAAATTGGAAATCAACTACTCCCTCCGTCCCTAAATAAAGTTCCTCTTTCGTTTTTTCTTTGTCCCTAAATAAACTTTTCTTTTCCCTTAAAAAGCCCCTTTTACCCCTTACTTTTTCATACCCTACCTATCACATCATACCTTTTTACTAATAATCTACCTATCACATCTTACTTTTACACATCACATCAAGGGTATTTTTGGAAAGTCAACACCAAAATATCCCTCCCTTAAATCCTCAAAAAGTCAAAAATGGAACTTTATTTAGGAACGGAGGGAGTATATTTTAATACTTCCTTATTTTTGCTCCAAATTAAAATGGGAAGTCTTTTTGCAAACGGAGGGAGTATATCCCTAAAAGTCCTTCCTTTTTCTATTAAAAACTACTTTTACCTCTTATTTTTTATACTGTACCTATCACATCATACCTTTTTATTACTCCCTCCGTCCTATATCTTTCTTCCCGGTTCGCAAAACGAAGAAAAATCCCAAGTTTTTTCAATCTATTTTATTTAAATATTGGTATAGAAATAAAAAATAAAACATACATATTTAAAAACTACATCAAAAGTTCAACAAAACAAGTGGTGACAAGAATATTTTATTTTATCATGTAGGCCATAAAAAAACACAAATAAATATAAATTTCCGTGAAGTTGGAATAGTGCTATGGGAAGAAAGTTTTAGGACGGAGGGAGTAATAATCTACACATCGTATCCTACTTTTACCAATCACATCAAGAATATTTTTGGAAAGTCAACATAAAATTATCCCTCCTTATTTTACCATTTTAGTTAAAGCGTCCTTATCATTATGGGACGGAAGGAGTATACTAGACAGGATGGACTATGGAGCATCAAAATGAAGAGAAGAGAGATGATGGAACACATACGTACATGGATATCAACTAATCCCTCAAAGATGGGTACAAATTTGCTCTCCCGACTGTGTCGTTTCCTGTGTATTTTAAATTCAAAATAAAACATTATTCATTTAATAACTGGTCAACCGACACACAGTATATACGTAGTACTCCGTATATATATTGTAGTGTTTATTGTTGAATTGAATTCTAAGGTTTGTTTTAATTAATACTTACGAAGGGAAAAAATATCCGCTGTCCGAAAAACATTTGACTCGGGAAGTTGACGGAAAGAAACTGCGAAATGTATCGCAATAGATGGTTGCAGCAACTCCTCCTGCTGAGCTGCCCACTAGAAGAGCCTGTATAGTATTACGTCCATATATATATATATATATATATAATTAATTACATTGTTTAATGTAGTAATTAATTAATTAAAGGGTGCATGCAATGGTCACTACTTACATTCTCTGCATTTCCCATTCATTTGGCCAATAATTCTTGGGTAATAGCTTTGAAGATCCTGGCACCCCTAAAGTAATAGGTAGTGCCCTACAAATTAAATTAAAAGATCAATCTAATGTCAAAACTAGCTAGCTAATTCCAGTACGTAATAATAGCCAATTCACTAATTAATCAACGAGATTAATTGAAGTAGTAGTATTATTATATTAATTAAAGCAACACGTACGTACATAGTATTATTAATTACAGTAAAAATACTATATTCATACATACATTTGTTATTGTGATCTGAGAGTTCCCAGTGAACGAGGAAGCATCACAGTACCTCACCGAAACCTTGTTCCAGTTATAGAATTCTAACAGGTAATTTTAATTTCATGAAACATATAATTAAAATGTTAGCTAAATGAAATGAAATTTAAGGCAATTGACTACTTTAAAAAAATACACTCAATTTTTTCATTTTTTGCACTTTCATTTCATGTTTTCTTGTCCCACAAAAGTCTTTTTAGTTGTATCAAAAACCTAATTTTATCCTTATCTACTACTGTTATGATTTTTGTACGGATTACAACGGACGGGATAGATGAACGGCCCCGGAAAATAAAAAACAAACAACTACTCCCTCCGTTTCTTATAACCCTTCATCTTTCAATTTTTTTGTTTTCCTTAAAACACTTCCTTTTTCTATTAAAAAACCACTTTTATCTCTACTTTTTCATACCCTACCTATCACATCATACTTTTTCACTAATAACTAAACTATCACATCTTACTTTTACCCATCACATCAGGGGTAAAATTGGAAAGTCAACTAAAATTACACTTTTCTTATTTTGGCCCAAAGTCAAAACAAGAACCATTTTAGGAAACGGAGGGGGTATTTCTTAATTTACATATCTCATCATTTTTAAGTGATAATCTATTTGTCATATTTTAATTTTACTCATCACATAAAGGATTTTTAGAAAGTCAATGCAAAATTATTCTTCTCTTAATTTTTCTAAAAGTTAAAATGGAAAACATCTTTACACGACGAAAGATGTATAAAACAAACCTGGATTTTCATCTTCATTGCTATTTGTTAACATGACAGTGGAATCAGGCATAGGAGTAGGAACCGGCCAAGCACCACCTTTGAGCCCAATATACTCTTGGCAATCCGTAATGTTTTTGCACCATCCTCCCCCCTAAAAATATATACTAACATCTTTTAGGAGATGTTTTTTTGGGTAATTTACCTAAATAAGACGATTAAGATATAATGACTTTCTCAATATAAGATCATATGTTTTTATTTCCCAATAATGTAGGATTATTGATCATTATTCATTAGTCATTATTCAAGTAAATGTCCATCATAACCGGACATTATTTCTCCTACTCGATATTATTAAGTCCTGTTTAGGGAATAAAAAAGTTTAAGTCCTATATTGGGAAATGACTTATGTGTTGGTCCTATTTAGTGCAAATTTAACTTTTTTTTTGTTTTTGAAAAGTTTTATATAGAACAACGGATCGGAGGTATTAGTATTTATTTGTTAAATATATTTAATGAAATAGATAGTATTGGCACGGTGTATATGTATATAAGTATTGAAAATTGCAAATTATTAAAAAAAAACAAAATTGAGAGCAAATCTTTACGTACATTGAGATAAATGAGCCAATTTCTGGTGCCGTTGCCAAAACCTTTGAAAAAATAATAAGCCGCTGGTGCTCCAGTCAAACACACTACACACATACATCAGTGCATCACATATGATCTTTTGTTATTTAAAGTTATTCCAAAATAAATAGCATTTCTTAATTTCATATTCCATCCGTTCCTAAAATATTTTCACACTTTGACTTTTTAGTCTAATTGTGGCATTTTTTAACTGCAAATTATAGAAAAAGTATACTCTGTATTTAGTTATGAGGTAAATTTAGTAAAATTGAGTTTATTTTAAAATATAATTTTAAAAAATCAAATTTTATAATATTTAATTATTTTAAAATATTCATGGTTAAAAGGTGTCACGATTTGATTAAAAAAGTCAAAGTGTGATAATTTTTTAAAGACGAAAGGAGTATTTTTTATGCATACTAACTAGTACGTAACAACAATAATATACGAGGTTATAAACTCTCTTAATTATTACAATGACAAATAAAAAACATTAATTACGGAGTAAATGGTTACCAGCTCCATCATCGATAGTTACGAAGGTTGGATTCACTAGAACCTCATTGCCTGAAAACCATACGCTATTAGTTAATTACGTACGTAGTATTATGTATGGTTAATTAAAGTATTTGTCTAGTTCAATTTTTTTATAATCAAATTTGATGAAATTTGACCATTAATAAATACGTACAATATACGGAGTATATATTAAGCATTGATACAAGAATAATTATCAAAATATAATTATTTATATCATTTAAAATATTTTCAAAATAAAATTATTTAATCACAATGTAAGTAAAAACTCGATCATGTATGATAAAGTGCAAAAAATCAAACCTGGAAAGACAAATATTCGATCTAGAAACAAAAGTAGATTAGGTGAGAAAGACGAAAATGAGTGTTGAGTGGATGGGTCATATTAATTATTACGGAGTATTATTATTTGGGTGATGTAATAAATAATGAAAAGGGAGAAATTAAAGTTTATAAACATAAAATGGGTGGTGATAAATGTACCTCCGGTAGCAGGAGCAGGGGCAGCTGAAGAGGAGAAACTTGCTGCATTATTTAGTTAAAAATTAAGCAAAATAATTAACTACATTTTCTTATAATAATAATAATAATAATAATAGTAAAAATAGTAATAATAATAATGGGGTAAATTACTTATTGATTGAATGAGTAATAAAATAAAATTATTTAGTTGATGTTTTTGGTGAAGAGAGAATCAATATGAAACCCTACTTATTCCATTCATTTTAAAAAATCCAAAGTTTTTTCGAAATAAGTCGAAAATGCAAGTAATAAGAAGATTAATTTGAGAGAGAGAGAATAAAAAAGAATCTTACAACAGCTCTGGGTGAGGAGAAGAATGACCAGTAGTAAAAACATCTCATCAACTCTGTAGTAATAGTACAAGTTGTAGAGGCAATTCATTGCTATATATAATTATGAGAGATATAATAAGATCGAAGTAGCTTGAATATATAATGTGGAATATGTGTAGAGTAGATCTTGAAGACCAAAGAATAATACCGGAGTAAGGGGTTTATATAAGCAGTGTTGGACACGTTTTTATTATGTGGCCTGAGTTATCATTTATCTAATTAATTGATCATTGACCTAATAAATACCCTACGTATTTATTTGGTAATTATTCGATGGACGTAATTACCCTTATGACCTAATTAGGGTTTCCCCTTGGGTGTATATAAATAGAGGTCATTAGGTAGAGATCGACACACCAATCTTACGCCTCCTCTCTGCCTCTCTATTCTCGTGAGTCTCATCCTCACCTTAGCCATCATAACGATACACCCTAAACGGGAACTCAATCTGCGTGAGAATCATGGCATCATCCCTAACTGCGTTTACAGGATTATCAGGTACACATGATTAAATCCCTAATTTATATTTTATATTTGAGAATTGATCAACATGTGGTATCGGAGCTTTATGTTGATTAATCAATTCTGTTTTGTTCCCTATAATACTCGAATTATGATCGGAAAAAAACATACCCGTAGTAATTAAATTTTAACCCTAGCTGAAGGTGTCTTCCTTCTCGGTTTTATTTCCTTTGGTTTATCTTTTCCGATTGGGCCACTGTATCATATCACCACAAAACATTGAGTTTTGCAAACTCATGATGATTGCAAATCAGATTTCTAAAGGGGCGCATATTTTTCGAAAAAAAAAATCAAAACCTTAATACTCTCATTATAATTATTCTTTGATTCCATTTGAATAGTTATTAAATCCGAGGAATTGTTATGTTTTCATCCTTATTTTGATGAAATCATCTTGTTTTGGTATTTTATTTGAAATATAATTGTGTTTCCTTAAATTATATGGCATATCTCACTTTTGCATAATATATTCTGTTTCTTTATTTATTAATTTACTTTACTAAGAATAGCATAAACTAAATAAGGGATATGCTAAAATACCATTAAAAAGTTAATTTTTTTATTGGAAAATCTCTTGCCTTATATGCCTTTTGATTTTCTAATTAAATTAATTTTAATGGGTCCCTAATTTTCGTAGCCCCGCCCCGAACTGCTTTAACTTTTGCAGTTAATTAATTATTAACATTAACTTATAAATCATTTGACTAATCTTAAATAAAATTTACTTTTATGATTAGTTAAATTGATTTATTTTGCTTGACTTGAATAATACCTTAGAATACACTTCTGCCCAAAGGTGATGTGTAACATTTGTAAAATTTATTTCAAGTCTTATTAAGCATTGTCATTTGGTGCATATCCTTAAATAGATATTTGCATGACACTCGCCTTAAATACATAATATTTCACTTCTGTCCAAAGATGATGTGTTATAATTATGTACTGTGAACTAAATATATATGTGCATTAAAATTTAAATGTTTCACTTCTGCCCAAAGGTGATGTGATACATTCAAATTGCACATCATTATTTTATTATTCATAATACTTAAATAAGTGGTCAAAACCAAAGTGAAAGCCATTTGTTTAAGTAGAATAAAATTTAGTCTATTATTTTTGGTGTTATAATAGACTCTTATCACAGCTTCATTACTATATAATGGTCCTTATCTTCGCCAGCCTTAGTTCATTACCCCTTAAGTTCTTCTTTAGTTATGTGTCTTATTTCTCTCATCTGAATCCACTATCAGCCCCAAATATGGGAATTGAAACCTTGAACGGTGCGAATTTTTCTTCATGAAAAGATTCACTGATGCTAACTCTTGACATGTTGGATTTTGATTATGCACTGAGAGAGCCTGCCCCTCCTGCCCTCACTGATAAAAGTACTG